AAGATTACAATCCAACTGATATGATCCAGTGGTGAAGTTCCAAAAACTACAATCCAACTGATATGTTCCAGTAGTGAAGTTTCAAAAACTACAATCCAACTGATACGATCCAGTGGTGAAGTTCCGAAGATTACAATCCAACTGATACGATCCAGTGGTGAAGTTCCGAAGATTACAATCCAACTGATACGATCCAGTGGTGAAGTTCCGAAGATTACAATCCAACTGATACGATCCAGTGGTGAAGTTCCAAAGGCTACAATCCAACTGATACGATCTAGTGGTGAAGTTCTAAAGATTACAATCCAACTGATATGATCCAGTGGTGAAGTTTCAAAAACTACAATCCAACTGATATGATCCAGTGGTGAAGTTTCAAATAGTACAATCCAACTGATATGATCCAGTGGTGAAGTTTCAAAAACTACAATCCAACTGATATGATCCAGTGGTGAAGTTCCAAAGACTACAATCCAACTGATATGATCCAGGGGTGAAGTTCTAAAGATTACAATCCAACTGATACGATCCAGTGGTGAAGTTTCAAAAACTACAATCCAACTGATATGATCCAGTGGTGAAGTTCCAAAGACTACAATCCAACTGATACGATCCAGTGGTGAAGTTTCAAAAACTACAATCCAACTGATATGATCCAGTGGTGAAGTTTCAAAAACTACAATCCAACTGATATGATCCAGTGGTGAAGTTTCAAAAACTACAATCCAACTGATACGATCCAGTGGTGAAGTTCCAAAAACTACAATCCAACTGATATGATCCAGTGGTGAAGTTCCAAAGACTACAATCCAACTGATATGATCCAGTGGTGAAGTTCTAAAGATTACAATCCAACTGATACGATCCAGTGGTGAGTTCCGAAGATTACAATCCAACTGATACGATCCAGTGGTGAAGTTCCAAAGGCTACAATCCAACTGATACGATCCAGTGGTGAAGTTCCAAAGACTACAATCCGCGTTCTACTAAGCTACAGTCTAAATTTTATTCTGGAATGACTAACATTAAAAAAGTAAATAAGATTTGATAAGATTAGTCATTTCTACCTAAGAAATGACCACGTGATTTTAAGAATTTATACAATCTAATTTGAATCCTATTTCGAACCAGATAAACCGCGATAAAAAGAATGAATGAAAATTGGCTAGGAGAAATTCAATCATATGAAGCTCATATTTACCTATAACTTTTGATGCTGCTTTATCTAAACTAATAATAGAATGACCAAATGGTACAATTAGATCACCATAATACTTGGGTTCATCAAAAACATGGCACAATGGTAATAATAAATATAAACGTAAGGCTTCTATATCTGGAGGTGAACTTGGTAAACATCTTATCATTTCTTCTAAACTATTACATATCTAAAATACAATATAATAAAATATTATCACTGTTAAAATAGTACTCAATACATCAATTGTAGAGTGATATAGAAATACCACTGTTAAAATAGTACTCAATACATCAATTGTAGAGTGATATAGAAATACCACTGTTAAAATAGTGCTCAATACATCAATTGTAGAGTGATATAGAAATACCACTGTTAAAATAGTGCTCAATACATCAATTGTAGAGTTATATAGAAATACCAGTGTTAAAATAGTACTCAATACATCAATTGTAGAGTGATATAGAAATACCACTGTTAAAATAGTACTCAATACATCAATTGTAGAGTGATATAGAAATACCACTGTTAAAATAGTACTTAATACATCAATTGTAGAGTGATATAGAAATACCACTGTTAAAATAGTGCTCAATACATCAATTGTAGAGTGATAAAATAGTACTCAATACATCAATTGTAGAGTGATATAGAAATACCACTGTTAAAATAGTGCTCAATACATCAATTGTAGAGTGATATAGAAATACCACTGTTAAAATAGTGCTCAATACATCAATTGTAGAGTGATATAGAAATACCAGTGTTAAAATAGTGCTCAATACATCAATTGTAGAGTGATATAGAAATACCACTGTTAAAATAGTGAGCAGAGTATATATATATACAGCTCTATGACTGCAATGATAGACCAGTCTCTCTGATTCGATTACCCCCAAATCCATCCAGTTTTTAGTAAAAGTTAAAGATTTGTAAAAATATGATATCATTTTCATAGGTGGACCAGGCCACGTATTCTCGAAATGATCTTAACGCTAGGATGTCCTAGGTTCTTATTTTCTAACATTGATTCTAGAACATCCTAGATCGTTTCGAGAATACGTGGCTTGGATCTTGAACATACATATACATGTATATACCTAAAAGAACTGTATTTCAGAAAAACAATACCTTTTGAATCATATACACATTGGTAGCTTCAGACAATCTTGTAAAACTCTCTTTGGCTTTATCTAAATCTAAACCATGATTTTTACTATTGCTACCATAATGTTTATCATCACTAACAAAAAACAAAAAAAGACAATATAGTTTTAATATCCTACGAAATTTAAATTTGGTTACATCACTCTCCATCCGTGATCTGAAGTAAATCTTTGCTTAACACAATTGTATCATAATTCATTGTCATTTATGTAAACACATAAATATACTGCTAAAATTCCTCACATCTTCTAAATAAAGATTTTATTGAACAAAGCTGTTGATATTTAATATATTTGGTTACTTAAGTGACCCGTGTACAATTCAAAATAACCAGTTGTCATATATAAACAGTTATCAAAATAACCAGTTGTCATATATAAACAGTTATCAAAATAACCAGTTGTCATATATAAACAGTTATCAAAATAACCAGTTGTCATATATAAACAGTTATCAAAATAACCAGTTGTCATATATAAACAGTTATCAAAATAAACAGTTATCAAAATAACCAGTTGTCATATATAAACAGTTATCAAAATAACCAGTTGTCATATATAAACAGTTATCAAAATAAACAGTTGTCATATATAAACAGTTATCAAAATAACCAGTTGTCATATATAAACAGTTATCAAAATAACCATTTTTCATTTAATAAACAGTTATCAAAATAACAAATAGTCATTTAATAACCATTTGTCATATAATAAACAGTTATCAAAATAACCATTGGTCATTTAATGTACATTTATCAAAATAACCATTTGTCATATAATAAACAGTCATCAAAATAACCAGTTGTCATATATAAACAGTTATCAAAATAACCATTTTTCATTTAATAAACAGTTATCAAAATAACAATTAGTCATTTAATGTACATTTATCAAAATAACCAGTTGTCATATATAAACAGTTACCAAAATAACCAGTTGTCATATATAAACAGTTATCAAAATAACCATTTTTCATTTAATAAACAGTTATCAAAATAACAAATAGTCATTTAATAACCATTTGTCATATAATAAACAGTTATCAAAATAACCATTGGTCATTTAATGTACATTTATCAAAATAACCATTTGTCATATAATAAACAGTTATCAAAATAACCAATGGTACTTTAAATGTACATTTATCAAAATAATCATTTGTCATATAATGTACAGTTATCAAAATAATCACTTGTCATTAAATGTACAGTTATCAAATAACCATTGGTCATGATATGTACAGTTATCAATACTCTTAAAAATAAATATGTTCAGTACTTACCTGAGTAGAAATGAGCAATTTAGACACGATGCATTAGAAAAGATCTTTATAACTTCTCTGAAATATACAAAACTTCCAAATTTAGAGCCACTGACTATGTTCAATGTTTAAACTAATAATTCACTTTGATTCACAATAAAATCACTTTCTCAAGAATAATAAATGTTACAAATAAAAATGAAGAAGGTATTTTGTAAGCTTTTAGTTTCAGGATTATACCAATAATCCTTTCTCTAAGTGAACAGGGTTTTTAGCAAGAGTAACCTTAATTCGATCAAAATAACAAATTAGATTTAAAAACAGTATTAACAGATAAAGAATATGTAGATACAACAGTAAAATAATGTACAAAGTTTAGATGTATGCCTAAGGAAAGAGATATGTATTATTCTGAATATTATGGTGTCTGAGTTATGCCAACTTGTTGATTTTTCCATCCAGATAGGTGCATATTATTTACGAATTTTCCCAATCTCATTATACTGAAATTTCATATTGTTTGTTTTCTGATGTTTTAGTCTTCATTGTAATCTAACAAGTTTTCTGCTTAAGGCCTGTTCCAAAGCATAATTGTTAACCAATCAAAGCGCGTCATTAAAATAAAGAATGGTATTCTTTATATTGGTTTAGCTATCCTACAATTCCCTATTTTATCAAGAAACAGGATTTACGTGACACGCTCTGATTGGTTACAAATAAGCTTACCTTTTGGACTGGCCTTTGGTAGAAATCTTGTTAAATTATCATGAAAACTAAAACATCAGAAAACAGAAAAGACACAAAATTGCAGTCTTATTTTAAATATATTCGAGTTTTTCGGAGTTACCAAAAGTAACAATGCCTAAATTAAACAAGCTTACAAACTATATTGACACTTTTACAGAAGATCTATTGGAACTTACTCTGATAATTCTACTGAAGGGGAATCAGCTGATTGCAATTGACAGATGGTCTGTATAACTGATGGTGTTAGAGATAATATCTGATTACTAGAGGAATGGATACGAAAATCATCTGGTTGTTTGTTAACCTATAATATACAATAATTATCATAATAATTTTATTTTATTTTATTTTTTCTGACAAATAAAAAACGTAGATTGCATGGATTTCTAGACTGACAACCGGCAATTCTGAGATTGATAGGCAAAATCCTCCGTGAAAGTTATGCTACCGCTCTACAACATATCATGGTAATGAATGGAAATTTTTTTTATCAGAATATTGTCACGTGATCACATGATTCTGGTAATTTAAATATTCAAGGCAGGTTGTCCGAGACTATAAGTGTTTGTCAACAAAGTCAATGAAAACAAAACATCATTAAGATATGTATTCAAACTGATAATAAACTTTATTAAATTATATCACAAATTCCCAAAAAGGGGAAACCAATTAAAACTATATTATTGTCCTGTTATTTGACGTTTCGGCATACTACCTTCTTCAGAAACATCCAAAATAGATCTCGATCACATCTTATTCCGTTATTTTACTAGCTATTTCCTTTGAAATATTGTGTTCACAAGCCAATTGTGGACGGACGGACAGTGGCGACACATTATAATGTGGGTATATAAAAATATATCAAGAGCCTTTCTTTCTCAAGAGAATATAAACCACTGTGATAGAAAGGAACAATATTTGATATTTACCTTCGTATCTAGAGATATAATGAAAGAAGAATCACCACCAGCTACTATAGTTTTAATTATCACAGAATCTTTGTCCACTACATCTACTGACATACTGTTATTCTTTATTGGTGGTAGGAACGGTCCCGATACACGACATGGAGATGTCTTATTACTGGTGGTGCCGTTACCAAGCTGGCCTGTACCACCTAAGCCAAAAGCGTATAAACGTCCACTGGCAGTTACATAGGCTAAGGTATGACGCCTGCAAATAACAATTGTAAATCTTCATTTTTCATCATTGTATTATGTTTATTTTCCACATATACAGTCAAGTAACCTAATTTTGTGCATCTCCGGAAATGATAAATAATTTAAATGTGCGACCTCACGTGACCTCCGCATTTGTATGTTTTGATAAGCGTGGGTTATTGTTCTTTGAAGGAATTGGCATTAGTTATGATGACTTGATATTAAAGATAAATACTAAGAAATGATAGTCTAGACTTATTCATAGATCAAACATAGTACACGAAAATAGGTGACACATTTTGCAGCCATTGTCGAGAAGGTTACTCATGAAATATGGGTCAAAGTGAGGGATTCATAAAGAAAATCAAACCAATATTAATCATTTTAAAGAATATCTGAAGAAACATCAAAACCATAAAAAAAAATTATGTTTTTTAATTAATGACGAAATTCAGTGTTGAATCATTATATGCACGAAAATAGGTTACACTACTGTATAACATATCTCATGCTAGTTTAAAGCAATATGGATCAGATATTGAATAGATCACAACAATATTTATGTCTTAAGCTGGCAATCCACCAGATGCAGTGATTGATCATTTCGTTTTGGCTCACTCAACTGTTTGTATGTTATTAGCCAGGTATTTTGCATTATGTACCTAATCGAATAAAGTGTTCAATGGCGTAACTAATCATGAAGGGCCATATTATGCGAAAAGTGATTTCATTTCAAAAGATAAATAGATAAGTACCTGCCACAGGCTATTTGTGTGACATCACTACCCATTAATTCTGTTACTTGTCTAGGTAATACTTCATTCTGTACACTACTGTGACCTAGTTGACCATAACTACCAGCACCAAATGTAAACACACCACCATTCTAAAAAATAAACATATTTTTATTTCATCCAACAAAGTTCTTAAACTATAAACATGTTTGATTTCAATATATACAATATAGTGATTTCGGCACATTTCTAGTACTTTTGAAGACTATTTACATATATTCTAGACAAAAATCAACCCCCATAAATAGCAAATGCATACTAAATAAAGAAAGACAAATACCTGTGTTAAGGCTGCAGTATGATCTTCACCACAAGCTAAATACTTGATTCTCTGATATCGTAATGACTTACAAAGTGTAGGAAATGGACGGTCTGAAAGTAAAAGTTCATTTCTTGTTGTAATATCAGGGTGCAAATTACTTTTTTTAGTTGCATAGCAGTGTTTTGCTCTTTAGGCCGAAATTGCATAGCATTTTCAAATTTTCAAATTTTAATACCAGTGGAAAATATAAATACAAAAGAAGTAGACCTTAAACCCCGTTTGACACTTGAGTTAATCTAAAAAATCTGTCATCATAAATAATGCACACTCAGGCCTACATGTTTACTTTTTAAAATATTTCTTCAATAATGGCTTTTTCTTACTCCTGATATCTTCAATGTTATTGTTGAAGTGATGAAATACTTGCAATTTTCAAGGTCGCGCGCATATGATTCTTGATTAAGAAAAGTCCAAACCAACCGATAATATTTAAACCCTGGGTTTGCGGTATTTTTTACGGAAATGGATATTTAAAAGTTGTTATTATTTTGTTCCAATTAGGAATGTTGTAATTCGATTGTTAAATGATGAAGCATTAATTTTTTCCACCACGAAGGCCATGCTGCTCTATCTCTCTGAAATGTCGTCTGCTATCCACTTGAGTATAATATTCCTTATTTAGCACAATCTCTGACTACGATACTATTTATAGTAACAATCATGCCTCCTTCGATTCTGTGCCGACTTTCAGTTCTCGAGAAATTTACTAAAAGTTGCGAAAAATTAACGGATTCTCATTGTTTCAGACACCAAATTTTATAATGAGTTAATTTTCATTTATTATTAGAAAATATTTTGTATCGCAAAAAACTGCTCTACTGACGAAAATTACATCGCATTTTGTCAAAAATTGTATCGCAAACTGCGATGTGATAACCCTTGTTCCCTTTAATTAACACCTGCTGGCAATATTAACCAATCATTAAATCAATAAACAAGAGCAATAAATCAAATAAAAGATATTATTCTTTCTGTGAAAAATTTCAAATTTTTTTGTCAAAATCAGTTAATTGTAGACAAACAGAATGCCATGAGTGGTGAAATTATAAGTAAAATGATATATATTATGAAATAAGAACATTACCTCTTTCATCATTTACACCTAATTGACCAAAACTAGAAGATAAAGAAAATGGTCAGTTACCATGGTTACATTATGTTCACAACAGCAATCAAAATGAAAATATTGTCATAATAAATAACAAATTCTGAGGCCATTAACATCATATGAATCATTAAAGAAAACTCTTCTCTATCACAAATTTAGGTCCCCATGGCCTTTATCAAGTGAAAAATAAATTCTTAGAACAATTTACAATGACTGAAGAAAAACGCTGTCACATAAAATGAAATTCCAAACTGTCACCACGAAACAATCTTTGTGGAGTCTCTTTTAGTTATGACGTCAAATGAGAATTAAGTCTTTTTCATACAAGTATCCTGAAAATTCCTGCTTCCGTTTTGTATCGACAAAACGAATCTTGGACATTCGCTCAACATGACTTGTTTTACACGTTTGATGTTTCTTGTTCTTAACTTAACATTAATGAATCATCACTATTACATTAATCTGGAATGAACTGATATCAAAATTTTTTCGGGGCTTTTATTGAGTCAATGGCACTTAAACGGTTCATCAAAGCGCTATCAATTTCATGAATGTTATGATGCTTTTACAGATCTGATATGGTTATGGTTGGTTAAATTTGAGAACCACTCAAAATCATTGGCCACATAGTTCAATGTTAGAGATTCTACACTTACCTATTTCTGCCCCAACCAAAGACTGCCCCTGATTTTGATAAAACAAAGCTATGATTTCCTCCAGTTGTTATTTGTGCTATAGGTATACCTTTTAAACAATTGATAAATTCTGGCTGTGAGCGATGACTTATTGTCTGATTACATCCTAATTGACCAAAATTATTCGCACCCCAACTTGCAACTAGTCCCTCTGTAAAATACAATTATATTCCAATGATTAGTAAAAAGCTTAATTATTCATCATCTGTAAATTTATCAAACACACTTAAAGGGACAGGTACACCAAAAACTGGAATTTTTTAGCTGAGCTAATCCGCAATAGTGTTCACAGCTCATCGTCGAAATTGGAGCCTTCAAATTCATGTGTGTCCAGAATTATCTGCGCTTGAATCTTAAAATGACGATTCATCACAAGATGCTGTGTTATATATAGAAATAGTGAGAAAAATTACTAGTTTGAAGTATTTTGAAAGGAATTATCATACGATTTTCGTACATTTCTAGAACTTCTGAAGATTATTTACATATATTCAAGACTAAAATCAACCCCCTAAAACGGCACACCTGTCCTTTTAATGTCATCAAATTTAATACTAAGTTCATCAAACAATAGAATAATAGGATGGCTTATACAGAGTAAGGATGTGAACATTTTTTCTCCAATATCATTGAGGGAGGGTATCTGTAATTATAAGAAAACTTTAATTTAAATGTTTATGTAAACCAAATCTTCCAAATTTCCTTAAAAAGAGGCACTATCAGAACATTTGCAACAGAAGCCATTAGAAGTATCCCCAAAAGAACAGTCTTGGTTGCTGACTCAAATCTTGAGTAAAACAACAAGATTATCACGTTGCCGACAGGATTTATAATAATCTTTAAATGACATTTGGTCAGCAAAACTCGTGACAAGACTCTAGTCAATCACTCATGAAGACCGTTCATGTGCTCGCACCAGAACAAACAAACAAAGACTAGAAAATCTTTTGAATCCTTTAAGTTAAAACCTAATTTTTCATGATTTAAAAGCTAATAATTTTACCTGAGGTTAATACTAGACAATGATTTGAGCCACAAGATATCTGTATTACAGAATAAACTGCTAATGTCTTCACTAATCTGAAAAAAAAAAAAACATATTGGTCAAAAAAAAGGGGAGGAAATCTTTATTTTTCCAGTTTGTATCAGTTAAAGTTTCAATCTTTTCGATATAAAACTGTAAGCTTAAATGTTTCTTTGATCTAGTCTGTGTTAATCTACACAACTTACAACAACCTAAAAACAATCAAAACAATAATGCTAGTATTTGGGAATTTGCGCCATCTCTCCAACACGTCTGTAACTCTTACATGTTTTTTTTTTTTTGTAAACAATATTTCTTAAATATAGATAAATGGTACAATGTTCAAAATATATATTATAAGCGATACAGATTTGCAAATCGAAAATTCAGACATACACAAATATATTTCATAAAATCCTTATTTATAATATTAATTACTATTACATATTTGTACCTGGTTATACTTTACCAGAAAGATTATTCAGGACATCACACTATTTCAATCTGGGCAACCAACAAACTTCAACATACAGTTATGTAAATATGAACACAAAACTTGTGATTATCATTTTGAACTTGTACGGTACTAAATCTCACAAAGCAAATTAGTCATCCTTGTGCACTTACTTTGGTATTTTTGTGACTTCTTCATTTATTCCATCTCTACCTAATTGACCATGTTTATTGTTACCCCACGTAAACACTTCATTAGCAGCAGTTAAAACTAAACTGTGAGACTGGCCTACTGCTACTTTAATAACTTTCTGAGATTTTATTTTCTCCACATGTTCTGAAATAATGTTTTCATAGTGTATCAATATATCCTAGGGCCTTATTCTTAAAAACTTTACTTAAAATGATTTTAGTGTCCCAGTCATCTGATTAATCAATCACTAAAATTGATTTAAAATTTAGTTTTGTTATCCAATCAGATTACTGTATATCATAAAATCTGGATTTTATCAAAGTTAAATTTTGGAGAATAAGGCCAATTAATCCAAAATAATTCTGTAGTTTCATCCATTGAATACTGAGAGAATATCATCATTAATCCGATATTTTCCCATCTAAACTAAAGTTTGAATCTAAAGTTATATTACAATGGCAGCCATAGTGTATAAAATCTGACAATTGATCTCAAAAGATAAAAAGATGAAGTTCCAAGCATTATAATTTCTGCTACATCCCTAAACCAATATTTACAAGACAATTATCTAACTTCCTTAAGCGGCATTTAGTAATTGGGAAGTAAATAACTAGATACAATTTTATGGATAACAATTACTTTAATAACTTGTGTGACATTTCGACAAAAGTGCTTTCATATTTATCAACCGTCGCAAGTTATTTATTAAATTAAAAGTTAAAGACAATCATTTGTTGGCAGTTTAACAAACACATCTTAACTCATTGCTTTTTGAAAAGTCTCTAAAGGATTGTGGTGTTTACAGGTAGGCTTACCCTACCCCCCAATTATTTGTAAACATAACTTTAACCCTGTGCCAGTGCCTTATATTGAATAGTAACTTGTTACCCCCACTAGCACCAAGGATGAATGAAAATGACTATCTCTTATGAAATTTTGTCTACATATGGAATGACTGTAATAAATTGGGAACTTATAAAATGAATAGCAGAATTTGAATTTACCTAGTCGTGAAAACTGACCACTGTGTCCAAGTTGTCCAAAATCATTATTACCACAACTATATAGTTGACCATTTTCAACTGCCACTAAGGTATGTAGATCACTACAAGATATGTCAACAATTGTAGATTCAGGTAGTGATGTAACTGGTATAGGTAAACATTGGTTCTCATCACTTCCTCCAATGCCCAGCTGACCACTATCTGCTTTACCCCAACATAAAATTTTAGCCATTACTATTTATAACAGAACCTTCATCCTGTAAAAAAGGGGAAATTTAAGAATTATCTGTGAATGAATAAGAACCTTCATAGCTGGTATAGTCAGTAGCGTCTCTAGGGGAAGGGCCTGGGCCTGCCTGTCTCTGGTCACAGGCCCCAAAACCCTGTCCTCTACTGGCTCTAGTTGAAAACATCTGCCTCTTTTTTTTTTTCTTTTTTTTTCAAAAATATTCAAAATAAGATTTTCAATAGTTTGCCATTTGTCTTAGAATGCCTGTAGGTCCATAGAAATATGAAGTTCCGTGATTTTACATTTAACACTTCCCTCCCAGATCAACCCTGTGAAAATGACCCCACTTTTCTGACTGAAAATTCCCCTCTGTAAAATCATATTTACAATCGATATTTTTTTCGGTAGTTCACATTTTCATCAACCCAAAGGCAATCACTCTCGCTCTCACTAGTATTTTGTAGTTGGTATGAAAATGATTGCCAAGTTTCAATTCAGAAAACAGTGTAGTCAGAGAGTCTAGGCTGCACTCTACTACGGACTACGACTGTTCTGAGACAAATCGGGGAGGGACAGGAAGAGCATAATATTCACTGTCAGGTAAACAATTTCAAGAAACGTGTACCCTTCGTTCAAGTAAAGTAAAAATAAATCTATAAATACTATAATACGCACATTAAATTCATTTTATTCTTTTAGATCTACTGTAAACAAACGTAACATTTCCAAAATAATGTACGACACACTTTTTGTGCCTCTTTTTATCCAAGAGTTCCAAATTTAATTTACACAAGGGGAGGTAACAAACTAAAATAGACTACACTAACTTGCTATAGGAGGTTCCAGAGCCGTATATATACGGCTCTGGGAGGTTCGACTAAAAAGCACATAAAAAGCAAACAAGTGTAACCAAGCGCAAACAAAGTGCAAACAATTACAAATAAATATATATATCGATCGATATTGGAGGGTGGGGAAGCTATTTTATATGCCCACTATGCTTCAGCCAACGATTTTAAGTGTTAAGAAATTAATTGTGAAGAGGTTTCAAGGCTACTTTTGTGAATCGCCAGTTGATCTGCCTTGATTATATTGTCAGCAAAAAGTCCACTCATAGACATCTCTCAGACACATTTAATGACTAGCCGCAAGATAAATCTATTGAATTCATTTAATATGGGTCTTCTATTTCAATTTGCATAATATATTATTGTTCGCACTTGCTTGTGCCTTTTAGTCGGACCCGCTATAGGTTTTGAGTAGAGTCATAGGCTACTGTCGAGTCAACTGCTTATCTCATCATCAGATCCGCCGCTGTCCACATCAGTTCATCATGAAAAGCTGTCAAAAATTTATCTGTCTGGAATGAAAATTCCATGACTAGCCAATAGGCCCTATCTGTCACCAGTATCAAATGGATTTATAGAAAATAATCGGCATACTAAAACATGGGGAAGCCGAAATTGAATCCTTAACTTGAAAAGAAATATATTTAGCCTACCATTAATGTTGCAATTTTCATACTTTCGTTTTAATCGAAATTCATCGAATACGCTAATAATAGTCTATTTTTAACTCCTACGATACTATTTTTACATCATTTGGCTTTTCCCATTATAATATCCTATTTATGTGTCCATTGTAGCCCCGGTTTACCAAGAACAAACGACTAGAGGAAAGCAAACACTATTTTGGTAAGATAGCCTACATACATCTATAATATATATTTGATAGTAGGTAACAAACTCTATTCTTGCTCGTACATATGGCGCAAGTTTTGCAATCTATTTACATTTACTTAGCATATAAGTATAGCATAAATTTAGTAATAAGGGATAGCCTACGTCTGTGCACATGATTGATGATAAACAGGCTTGATTATGTCATTGTGTAAGGTCGGGTTATGGGCTTAAAGAAGTTATTTACTTGCTATTGCCAATCAAAGCAGGCAGTTCCATCAAAAATATAATTTCAAATTAAGTAAGCCTAAGATAGTCGTGCTGCAAAAGAGGGAAAAAATCCAAACAAACGAAAACAGATTTTTTTTTGCGAACGATATATGCTCATCCCCTTTTAGATCGGTGGGTTCGTTTTGCCGCATTGCCTAACATGTCCCTCTGCTGCGTGCCTATAACGTCACCCACGTGCTAGAAAAAAGGGCAACTGAAATGTCTGAAAGTAAAAATCTTCTGAATAGTAAATCAGAATTATCAAGCAAGGAGAAGTTTAGAATTCTAGTATTAGATGTGCCCTATAGTTCAGCAGTGGCTGAACCCCCACTGGTTCCAGATAAGTCTCAGAATGTCCTGGTGGAGAAGGTAGAAGCTGGGGTTGATTGGCTCCACACTACCGTCGGCAGTTGGAGACAAAAATAGACGAACCTGCGATTGTTTAAAAAAAATGACAGTTCAGACATCGGATGAATCCACAGGAAAATAAGTATTGCGGAATCTAAAACCGTGAGCGGTGAGGGTTATATTTTGAAAACTTAATATTGTCACCATAATAGCGACAAGTATGCCTCTGTAAAAAGGCACAGTACCAAAGTCTTGAAACTATATTTTCGATTTCCCTAACAGGTCCAAATTATAAATAAAAAGAAAATCGATGCGGACAACAAATTAAAATATTTCGTTTCATGTGAAACAAATGGCCATTCCGGATTTTATCAGAAACCTTTAGTTTTGTTTTACAAGTCGTTTTTGCAGTTGGGCACGATATGGCAAGTTTGGCAATGCGGCAAAACGAACCCACCGCATTTAGATTGGTACATGTATGTGCAATTGCTTTAGGCTAGGCCTATATCATGATTTACCCAGATCTTTAATTAGAACATACTTTGATAACCCATAACCACGTCCTTTATAGCTTAAAACCCAACCCATTTTATAATCCAATTAGCATTGGCTAAATTTTCTATTAAGTGAAAATTAATATCATTAAGAATTTCCCGACCACGTGACATTTGACTGACAGATACCGTTTAGGTTTAAAGTAAGTTCCACCCCTTCTTAACCACGGAAATATTTCTTATAGTAGGGACAAGTTCGCCATTTTCGGACGTTTGATTATAGGCTGTAAGTAGTCTATAATAAACTACTAGAAATGTAGGGAAACCGCACAATTTAATCAAAAATACCTTAAACTAGGAATTTATTTTTCTATTTATGTCTTTATTACATTTGGCAGAGGCTTGAGAAAATCTGTCTCTTTAACTTTCAAACGCGGATAATTCTGGAAACCATTAAAATTGAAGGCTCGAATTTCGACGGTGATTTGTGAGCAGTATTACTGATTATCTATCCCTTCAACTCTAACTTTTACTTACAAATTCTTGTGTATAAGGTCGATTTCCAAAGAGGAAATCTAAAATGAAAGAATTCATAATCCCAAATAATCATAATCAAAATCTTCCGGACTGACGGACGGACGGACCGACGGACATGAGTGAGGCCTATTTATGAAAGAATTTATTGTCCTAAATAGTTATAATCTTAATCGTATCGTTATTTGTAGAATTTTGCCCCTAAAAGATCCATTTTTGCATGCCGATTCCCTTCAAATCCACAAAACGTTTACAGCAATTTACAGTGATATTTTATAATAATGGCCTATTGTAAAAACAAAGTAAACAAAAATTTTGCATTTTTTCAAATAAAATCTGCTTCACAGACGACAAATCAAAGTTATAAGCTTACCGATTCTACAGGAACTCCATTGTGTTGCTTAAAAAAGAAGTCTCCGTTTTGACACTTTACAAAGATTGTGATTGTTTATTATTTTAAGAATTTCCCTCGTCTGACGTAAGGTCTTATTAGCCTTATATTAGTTTTTGGACTATGCCATATTACAATAAGGGTGCTGAAATATGATCATATAGTGTACAGTTTCAATATCCATATGCAATCCAACCACCCCTGTTGACAATGTAAGTTGGGCCCAAACGGGGCACAAATCTTGTCGGATATGACGTTCATGTCTTGGAATCCCACTTCTTTTTTTTGCAGTCTTTTTTTTATCTTCAAAGGTGATATTATTGAAATATGAATTTATGCATAGTTTTAGCAACGCAATAATGGTGTTCCTGAAGCATCGATAAGCTTACATCATTGTTTGTCATATGTGAAGGATACCATTGAAAAGATTTACATTGTTTGTACAATAACAGCAGATAAGTTGGCAACTATTGTGGATAGCTAGCTTGCTGTGTAAACGAAATTCAATGACATTCTGATCATCATCTCCTGATATAAATTACAAGAAAATCGCATCATCCGATACCAAAAAATATAAAACTCAAAGACAACAACATATATTTACTCAAATATACACAATATGTTTTCAGAATTGAAATTGAAGATGAAGATTATTTGCAGGCGTCTTATCCGAAATAAACCCATGCAAAAATAAAATTACTAGCTTTAAGAATTTGAAAAGGCAGATTTGCGAATTAATAAAATACATTTTCTTTCATGTGAATTTTTGAGTTATATAAGGCAACGATCGCCGATCTCCATAAATCTCGGGGAACTATGGACCGTTATGGCTATTATAGAAATAGCAAAATGTCATTTTACAATAAGATTATTAAATCATTATTAATAAATTATTTCAAACGTCATTGTTGAGATCAATCTGGAGGAGATGGGTTCCCTTATAAATGCTAATACTTATATGAATAGAAAGTAGAGGTGTTCTAATTACTTGGACAAACACATGTCTATAATTACTTCATAATTAGCTAAATTAAAAGAGAATTACCAGCAGAATTCCAATGAGTGACCGATCAAGACAGGTCAAAAAGTCTAGTTTTTGTTTTTCCAGACAGTATATACACGGACATTTACGATTGGTTAAAACTCTTAATTATATGCAATAAGAACATACTGATATGATTATGAATACATGACAATTCATTAGAAACACCAATTAATCAAATAGTTTGCTTAATTTGACAATAAAAAATATGGAAACACATCTTTAATTTTTTACAGACTATACCA